CCACCCCCTAGCCTAAAACTGCCAGCGAGATATCCATACCCCCCTGACTTAAAACTGCCAGCGAAATATCCTCACCCCCAGAAAAAACTGCCATCTACCAGCTTTGTGATTCAGTTCAGTTATGTCAGTCAGGTCTGTCTACCTCCCGAACATCAAATTACGGGCTGCGCCCATAAAGAAAAGAAATGCTGACGGCGATGATGACGGTTTTCGACCATTGCCGCATTCACGACGATCTGCTGATTGTTTGCCGCATCTCCTACTCCATTCCTGCCCCTCGTCGGCGGCCTACGCCAACCAGAGGCGCCAAGGGGAAGGCGGAGGATGACGAGGACGAGGAAGGAGAAGAGGAGGAGGCCGACGACGCAGAGATGGAGGGCAAGCGCCAAGCCTGACCACAGAGTTTGAGGTCGAGCTCATTGCGTCTCACCTTCATCCTCAACAACAGCATCAGCATCATAAGCATCAACTCTATGACCACACCGAGCTTGACCACAAAGTTTGTGGTCAGGCTCGGTGCGGATCGTAATCATCAACATCAGCATCATCATCATCATCAGCATCATCAGCGTCATCATCATTATCATCCTCATCATCATTATCATCATAAACATCATCATCACAATTATCAGTATGACCCCAATGAGCCGAACACCAATGTTTGTGGTCAGGATAGATGCGTCAGGTAATCCTCGACATCATCATCATCATCATCATCATCATCATCATCAGCATCATCATCATCATCATCATCATCATCATCATCATCATCATCATCACCATCACCATCACTATGACAGCAGCGCATCTGACCATCTTAGTGGTCAGGCTCGGTGCGTCTCATCATCAACGCTGGCATCAGAATCAGAATCATCATCAGCATCATCATCACTATGACCGCACCGAGCCTGACCACACACTTTGTGTTCGGGTTCTGTGCGTCTCATTATCTTTAGCAGCATCATCACCCTAATCACTATGACCGAACTGGGCCCGACCACCAAATTTGTGGTCAGGCTCGGTGCGCCCCATCACCATCAACTGCAGCATCCTCAAAACCATGTGGTCGCTCTTTTCCTCACATGTCTATCTTACTGCTAGTTTCCTTGGAAATTATCTTGCTTCCAAGGGCGCTGAATATTCTTCCAGGGCTCGCCTATGGTCACTCGCACACGGTACTGTTGCGTAGGATTCTGCTGAAGCATCAGCGGGCTATCACAAACACCTCATGTTTGATATTGTTAGACCGCCAATGCCATCTCATAGAATCCAAAGGGTCATCGTAAGTCCGAACCCATCGTGGACATGTGAAGCTCTTGTGCGGACATCCGGTCCAGTCCGATCAGATCCTCTCCTCCCCCCCCTCCTTCTCCTCCTCCTCGTCCCATTCCTCATCCTCTCCGCCTCCCCTTCCCCTCCTCCTCCTACTCGTCCGTCACCTTCCCCTCCTCCTCCTCCTCCTCCTCCTCCTCCTCCTCCTCCTCCTCCTCCTCCTCATGTGCCTCCACAGAACAAAACGAAAGGAAATCTCGGCACCACCGTGCATAGGCCGTAGGACTTACTCTCTGCAACAGTCCACAGCGATTGAAATGATGAATCATCAAGGCATCCCCGTCTGGACTTTTGCGGGCCCTCGTCCGGATTTGTGCCCTCCTTGTCCGGGTTTGTCCGGATTACTACCCGGATATCCTGACGAAAATCCTGACGTTTGCCCTCTTCGTCCAGATTTTAATCCGGACATCCTGACGAACGTCCGGATTTACTGCTTCGTCTAAATTATTTCTGGTTCGTCTGGATTTTCATCCCAATATCCTGACGCCCATCTGGATTGTCCAGTTCGTGCGGATTTCGTGCAAATTGTTTTGCTTCGTACAGATTTTCGTCCGGATTTCTGCGCGGCCGTCGCCTGAGATTTGCCCAAGAGCTTGTGAGTATTGATTGACGTAGTAATAGTGACGATCACTCTCACACGCGAACATGTCTTTCGTGTTAGCCAGCGTGGACAAAAGTGTAAGCTATTGCACTGTTGGGGTGTGTGTGTGCTGTGTGGAGCAAGCTATGTGGTGTAAGCTATGCGGGGGGCATTTCGTTAACCTCCGTCCCGGCCGCGTGGCCGACAGTCGGACTACCGATCTGGGCCCCGGCTAGGGGCAAACATCACCGCAAAAGGCAACAGTCCAACTTTCTGGGATTCGGACAGGCGCGCGATACGCCGAGTCCGTGACGTTCGAACGGGCCGTCCTGTTGTCACTGCCGAGGATGCCGGTGCAAGCTCTCCTGTCTGGCATCTCTCGGTCCAGGTCGATCCGCGAGGGCCACCATCCCCGATGTTGCAAGCTATTTGGTGCAAGCTAAGCTGTGTGGTGCACGCAAGGTGGTGGCAGATATGCGGTGTAAGCCGTGTGGTGGAATCAGCGTGGTGTAAGCTATGTAGTGTAAGATGAGCGGTAAAACCGATGTAGTGTCAGCCATGAGGTGTAAGCTATGTGGTGCGAACTATGTGGTGTAAGCTATGTGGTGTGGGCTATGTGGTGTGAGCTATGTGGTGCAACCTATGTGGTGCAACCTATGTGGTATAAGCAGTGGTGTAAGCTACGTGGTGCAATCTACGTGGTAGGCTACGTGGTGCAAGATATGTGGTTCAAACTACGTGGTGCAAGCTACTTGGTGCAGTCTAAATGGTGCGAGCTGTGTGGCCAGCGCACGGGGCGGCCACGAGGCGGCCACGGGACAGCCAACGGGCGGCATGGGCGGCAACGTGGCGCAACCTCGGCATACCCCCAAGCGCGGGGGGCGGCCACGGGGCGGCCACGCAGCGGCCACTGGGCGGTCGCGGGCGGCAACGCGGCGCAACCTCGGCATACCACGCAAGCGCGGCGGGCGGGATGGGGCGGCCACGGGGCGGCAGCGGTGGCGCGTGACCAAGGCCAAGAAAGCTTCAATTCGGCTCACCCCTCACGTACCTCGCGGCCCCTGGACCTCCAGAGGCTCCCAGCTGGCCCCCAATACTGCTCAAGGCCTACGGAACCTCAAGTTGGCACACCCCTCACGCACTCTTCTTCCTCGTCTTGCTCCTCCTCGTCCTCCTCCCCGTCCTCGGCCCCCTCGTTCTCCTCCTCCTCCTCCTCGTCCTCCTCCTCCTCCTCCTCCTCCTCCTCCTCCCCTTCTCCTCATCCTCCTCCTCCTGCTCCTCCTCCGCCTTGCAACAAAAAATGTCACATGTGACGCTTTCCTTCCTACACATCCCCCTTCCTCCTCCGCGCCCTCCGCATCCTCGTCCTCCCCGGTTTCCTCCCCATCACCCTTTCTTGTTATCCGTCCTCCTTCAATTCCTTCCAGTATCCCCGTCCTCCTCCTGTTTGTATTCCTCCGCCTCTTGATTCGTCTCCTCTTCAAGGATGAGAGATGACACCGACAAAGAAGACGAGGAGCCGCACCCAGACACGGCACGGACTAGCATGTCCCCCATCACAGTTCTCTCAAAACAAAAGAAGAACATGTTGTACGCGCGCTGGCCTTCTAGGCGGTGCGTAAAAGATCGCCGTGCAGAGTGTCGCGTTGGATATGTGATGGGACTTCCAACAGGCAGCTGGGTATCAAAAAGCGAAGGAACACGAGTTGGCGCTTTGCCCCGCGTATGCACCCAAGACTTCAAGAACGTTGCTTTGCACAGTCGGCAGAATTTCAGTCACAGAACAATCGACTACAACGCAAAACAAACGCAGACGTACAGCAGATAGCTCGCACATGTAAGGAATACAAAAAGCGCGCGGTGACGTAGGAAAGGGGCCTGGGCGCGAAGTCCGCACTGCACAAAAGGACTTGACCTAGCGAGCATCTCACGCACCCGCGTCCCATACAAGCCCCCTCGCACGTCGCGCAATGCGACGTTTCCGCTATGCCAATGGCGCGCAAGTCGCGCGGCAATCGTGCGCCTACGGCAAAGACTGGGCCATGTGACTTTTCCCAAGATTGCGCAACTTTCCGCGGACGCGTCGAGCACACTTTTGGGTCCATGCAGGAGCAACCCCCCGACGGGCATCCGAGTGCGATGTGCTTCGAACCTGGGCGCTGCCCAAGCGAACATGATTGCCACCCGCTCCTCACTGCACCCCTTGCACCCAACGCTGCCCGCACCCAAGTCGTTGAAAGAGCGAGGACAAGAAGCAGATGGTGGAAGACGAGGAGGAGGAGGAGGAGGAGGAGGAGGAGGAAGGGGGAGAATACCGAACACTGCGCCCCTTGCACCCGACCAGTGTCAGCACCCAAGTCGCTAAAAGAGCAAGAAGAAGGAGCAGAGGATGGACTAAGGTCAGGAACGCTTGCTTAGCGTGTCGCGGCGGCGGCCCTGGCGACACACTATGCGCTATGCCATGCAAGCGGATTCGCTCCGCTCCACGGGGCGGAAGGCTGGGAAAAGCTCGAGACGTGGCGGCTCGAGGACTGGGACGTAGATAGCACGTCGCGGCGCAGCGCGGTGGGCCAGAACCCTCGGCGCGACACGCTGAGCCACACTGCCTGACCGTAAGAACGCCGCACAAATATAAGACGAAGCCAGGACAACGATTAAATCGGGTGCGGGTGAATCGAGAATCTCTGAGAGCCGGCGGCTCTGGAGGATGTCTCAGGCGCCGCGGCCTTCTTAGAGTTCTGGATGCCATGCCAATGGACACCCTAACAATCCTATCACTGAATTAAAGATGTGCTTAAGATATTTGGAAAATGTTCTACAACTGTTTGAAACATGTTTTTACATGTTTAAGGCATGTTTTGAATATTCTCTAGACATCTGGAAATTATTTGGCAACATGCTTCCTCTCCATTGATCGTCGTCCACAATCCTAGAGCGTTCCCGAACGCTCTGAGAGCATTCCAGAACGCTCTGGGACGGATTTGTCGTCGTCCTAGCCCCGTCCGAAAGTACCCGAGCTGGGGGGAAGGAGAGACGAGAGGAGGCAGAGCAAGGAGCCTCAGGGGGGTGGGCTGCCCTCCCCGCGGACCGTCCACGCGCCGCCATGAATCCCCGCATGGGCGAAGCCGGAGGAGCTGAGCCGGGAGCTGTCGCACAGGCCCTCGCCGGCTGGCTCGGCTGATGCGTGACCCGACTGGAGAGGGAGACAGCTCGGCCGGTTGCTTGGCTTGCCGAGTGGCAGCTCGGCATGCCCCATGAGCTGCAGATTGCCAAAACACTGTCAGTTGGCACTCGACGGCCAGCACACGGGGGGCAAGTGAAAGAGGGCGAGCCTTCTCAGAAGGCTCGGAAGCCCCTGGCCTTCCGAAAAATTGTCTAAACTTTCCCCGAACACATAGAAACTTCTCCGAAGGCCGGAAGGCTTCTGAGAAGCCCCTCCGGCTTCTGAGAGGGCCTTTTCCTTCTCACTTCCACCCCTCGCTCGCCGCGGAGGCACGCCACTGGAGTTCCAAACGACCTTCTGCAGCCCAGGCCCTGGCGACGAGCATACCTGGGCAGCCAAACTGCAGGCACGACCGAACAAGCGAACAACGCCTAATGTGCGGTCTGACTGTTTGTTATGCAGCCCCATTGTGGAGGCAGGCGCGACGAGCACCGAAACAAAACGGGAGAGGGAAACGCAGGGGGAGGGCAAATGCCGCGACAGGATAAACGCCAGGCTCTCGTCAAGCGCTGGTCACAGTTTCACAGATGGACGGAGGGTCGCTTTCAAAATGTGGTTCTTGCCTTAGCGCCGCGCGCATTCGTTATTAGAAATTGCGAAAGCGTCACGGGTTGATGGCGGGCTGTTTTCAAAATGTCGTTCACGCATTAGCACCGCACACATTCGACTTAAAAGTATACAGAAGCTTCACGGATTGAAAGCGGGCGGTTTTCAACATGTGGCTCTCGCCTTCGCGCCGCGCACACTCGTTCTTCTAAAAAATTACGAGAGTTTCACGGATGGACGACGGGTCGTTTTCAAAATGTGGTTCCCACCATAACGCCGCGCACATTCGTCTTTGAATGTTGCAGGCGCTTCACCGATTGAGGGCGTTTGTGCTTCAAAATGTGGTTCTCGCCGCAGCGCCGCGCACATTCGTTTTGAACATTTGCAAGAGCTTGACGGAAGCCCACGGCCAACGTGCCAGATGTTGTGTTTTGGAACGGTTCAGGATTGCCGGGTCGCAATAGTTACGTCCATTCGCGGTGTCGCAATTCCAGGAACGGTGTTATGACACGGTTCAGGATCGCCGAAATCCAGCAGTCAGGCTGAATCGTGACGTTAATACTGGGAACTGTATTTCAGCACGCTTCAGGATATTCAAACGGTTGTCTCCCACCGGGGCACTCCCGTCAGTGGAAATCTATCCCTGTAGGGCCCTATGGAGAGGGAGCTTGGAAGGAGGGTTGATCCGACATCGGTGATGAGGCGTGGGTTTACACTGGTCCTCCTCCTCCTCCTCCTCCTCTTCACGGCCCTCCGCCTCAGCATCATACTCCTCCCCATGCCCTCTTCGTCCTCCTTTCCCTCGTTTTCTAACTTCCGTTCTACGAGCTGCTGTGGGCTAGTGACAACACTTGTCGGCCATGGGAAACACCTCCGAAAAATGTTTAAACGTAAACACCTCGATTGGGCAACCTCATATACATCCAATTCGGGTCTGCTCGAACCTACTCGCTAGGTTCCGGGTCAAAACGCTTGTCGTAGCAGGGAAGAGATCCATTCTGACTTTGGCACGATGGTGATGCTGGCGACGGCCAGTCGAATAAAGAGACTGGCTGACATCATGTAAGCAATGGTTATAGGCGCGGACCGCAAAGGCAAAACGAACGACTGAAGCAAGAACAAGGACAACGTGAAGGCTGATAATACATTTTTTGGTTTGCGCGGCGAGAGCGAACCTCTTCGGTAAAAGCTAGGCGGGCTACGCACAGTCCTAATTGGGGAGACAGGGCACAGGCGGGCGGGGCCTCAGGCGGCCGGAAGTCGGGCCGGGGCGCAGGCGGTGCCGAGGAGCTTGCACAGGAAAATAAACGCCTTGGACAAGAGCCGGAGGCGAAGATCCGGAGGGTGAGCGGTGTGGCGTTGCCGTCAACGGCGCTCCGTAAACACCATCCGCAAGTGCTGCATGGGAGGACGTTGCACGCGACCAAGTCGACGTCCAGGGGGAGAAGTCCACCATGAGGGCGATGAGCAGCGTTGTGCCACCGGATGGTGAGGAGGGGGCCACGAAGGCGATGCGCAGCGTTGTGCCACCGGGTGGTCACGCGGCCTGGTGTGGTAGTCCAATCCACGTCCAGGGAGCAGCCAGCACGAGGTGCGGCCAGAGACAGGGCCGCCCGTGTCCGACTGGGCGTCGGTGGAGTGCAGGGAGGGAACCTGACCTGCACAGCCAGCGAGTGAAGACGGGCGGGTGCCACACACGAGCGCTGACGTCCGAATGGCCGAGGGCCGGGCCTGAGCCGCGCAGCGCCGAGGCGAGCGGGGCCGCCGAGGCGGCCAGGTGCAGTGCCCAGCACCCGGCCGAAGCCGCGCTGTGCTGGGGGCTGCCGCCATCGGAGGGGGGGGTAGCGAGCGGGGGGAGACGAAGCGAACAGGGAGGAGAGAGGCCGGCATCCCGCGCCAGCCGAAGTCGCGTCAGCCTGCACCGAAGGTGCTCACGTGGGGGGCAAGCCCCCATGGGTACAGGTAGGACACAAGGTCCCAACGCAGGTAAAGACAGGGCGCGCGACGCATCGCAGATGGGCACAGGTGGGACACAGAGTCCCAGATCCTTGAATACGGGAGAAGGGAGGGGAGGAGAAGGAAAAGACGGGGTCCAGGTGGAATGGCAAGTAGCCGTAGCCCGTGGAACGCAGGCGCCACTGGGGCAGCGGGGTGCAGGTGGGGGGGTAGAGGAGGACACACGGTCCCCAGCCAGGTGAGAGAGGCGGGGTGGGGGTCGGGGCGCAGGTGGTGGGAGCGAGGGGCTGGTTGTGTCGTGCTGCCGTAGGTCAAGGGGGGGTCAGGTCGACGGCTGGTCAGCGCCGCGGGCGCTTTCCAGTCCAAGTGTCATGGTACCCGGAGCTGCGCGCCTGGTCCCCTTCGCGCCCGTCACCCTTAGCGACCTCCCTTTTCCTCTGTACGTCCTGGTATAGCCTCTGCTCCCGCGCCCAGTCCACGTAGACGCCTGCGCTGCGGGACCACGCCTCCACGTGATGGTTGTTGGTGCTCATGTCATCTGGGAATTTATCGATGGTCCAATGTTGCCGGCGGCCCGGGTCGAAGGGGGCCTGGTCTTTGGATTTGCCTTTGCCCTGCTCCTTGCACATGTGCCTGCACCACGAATGCCAGGCTGCGTTGAAGTGGTATCCCCCTTCAGCTTGCAGCCTCTTCAGGTGTGTGACTGCTGTCTCGTGTGGGAGGCGCTGCCAGCCAACGCGGAAGGTTGCCCGCGTCCGGCTGGTGTCGGTGTGGCGGCGATCGTCCATGTGGTAAGAGTTGCGCAATTCTGGCCGGCGCCATAGTGCGCTCCCTGCGCCCCTGCCAGTGTCGCGGTTCTGGTCCCAGTAGCGCTCCTTGGCTCTGTCCAAGTCCATGGCGTCGTGTTTGCGCCACGGTGCCCCCGCTGCGCGGTCGCGGTCGCGGTCGCGGTCGCGGTCGTGTTCTCCTGTGCGGGTCTGGTCGGCCTCTCTGGATTCGTACCTCACCGCCGTCGTGTACGACTCCCAGGCAACTGGCTCCCGCACCCTGCCGCGCGAGCGCTCGAGCTGGTGTGCAGGGAGGGGGTGCGTGCAGGTCGTGGGTCCTCCGGGCCTTTGGACCGGTTCCGCGTGTGCAGTTTCCGGTCGTCGGCCGCGGCCTCTGGACGCACGATCGGCTCTGCGGGTGCGTGGGCGGCCCTCTGGTCGGTACTGCATGGGTCGTGCTCGGGACTGCTGCGCCGCTCGTTCCGAGGATTCGTCTTGACCGCTAAGGCTGATAATACAGCCGACTGTAGAAAGTAGGGTGATGATGATTACGCCACACGCGTCTGCCCAGAGGTGAGTACAGGTCTAAACAAACAACAACCGAACTCAAATGGTCCAACCGATGAGCGATTTTGCGGAGCAACAATTGCGGTAATTCCAACTCCAGCCGAACCCTCAATGAGATGGCCCGCCGCGAGTTTGTTGGAAAGAAGGCACGCCCCGTCAATTTGAAATATACGCGTCGGCAACGCGGAGGCGCTCATTTGAGGCAGGATGGTCACGACTTTTGTGGGCAGGATGACTTGGGCACCGAACACATCTGCAGCGGGAGTCCAGCAGCTGTAGATGAGATGAGGATGCCCACACCATTCGCGTGAGAGGGCAGAGGTGTCGGCATTTACCAAAACGTGTGTGTGCGCTTCGCGAGTACACCATGAAAACAAACATGATACTACACAGAGAACAGCATGTTACAACGAACGATGTTGTGCTGGTAGGCGGCACGGTGACATGAAAACACGCCAGCCAACATAATGCAGCGACAGCGAATTTTGTCTGCGCGATGACAGTCGGCGTCAATTGCAAGCGGGATACTTGACTGTAGATTGGGGCGAATGTCAGAGAACAAGCAGGCAGGCCAGACAGGTCGGCGTGGACAGGGCACGAATGACAGATTGCTACGACTTCGCATGTAGACACCAATACTTGCACCGAGACCTGCCTACATCTGACTGTCATGGGTAAGCTAAAACAACTGGGCTCGTGCAGAATCACTGGTTTGGGTACAGTTGCATTTAGGCCGCGTTGTATTCAACTCGCTCGAAGGTCATAACAGTTACGATAGGCACCTGGTGACGCGACCGTGGCGGGATGCTTCTTTTTGAACGAGCATCAGCCCTAAACCAACCCTCCGCCTGAACCTCAGCCCCAGCCCAAGCCTCAGTCTACCTCACCCCAAGAGTCAACCTTACCCTCAGCCCCATACTGCCCACGCCACAACGTCAGCCTGAGCCTGCATACCCCGCCCCATGCCACAATGTCAGTTAGTCTCAGTCTTGGCCTAAGCCGCAACCCAAGCACTAACCTAAAATCCACCTGTGCGAACGGCATGATGCACTGGTTCCAACTAGACGTCGCCCTCCATGCCCATTGTCCGATACAATGTTGGCTCCATTCCTGCGGCGACGGTACGGCATCTGGAAATCAACGTGGCCAGATGTATAATCTAGCAGGTACCTTAAATCTGCCTGAGGCCCTGCCCTGAGCCAAGCTCGGCAGTACTCCCACACAAAACCAGCCTCACAGCGGCCAAGGGGGAAAGGATAATAATCAAAGCCAGCAGCAGCAGCAGCATTTTGCAACTGGCACCAACTCGCCTCCACCTGGCATTTGATGGGACGCGTTCTCACCTGGCACTACAATCACCTTCAACTACCTCCCTCCACCATCTCCCGTGTTGTCCCTGTTGTCCCTTTTCGTATCACTGCTAGTCATGATGTCCCTCTCACTGCTATGCATCCCCTCACCCTCATACTGCTCTTCCTGCATCCGAAGCAAGGATGTCACAGCAGTTGCCTCCACAGTGATGGGCGGGCTGACCTGAGACCCCTCTCTAGCCATAGGCCGGCCCCAATATCCTCCCAATTATTTCTCTGGGCTTCGAAGACTGCAACATGGCAAGAGGAGGAAGAAGCGAAGGACGATGACGAGGAGGAGGAGAAGGAAGAGGAGGAGGAGGAGGAGGAAGAGGGGGGGGCAGGAGGCGCAGGAGAAGGCGCAGGAGAAGGCGCAGGAGGAGCACGGGGAGCAGGAGGAGCAAGGCGAAGCAACAGCCGCAGCACAGCGAGGATGAAGCCGGAGGACGAAGGCCAGCAGCGGGGGCAGCAGGGGGGCGGCAACGGCAACGGCAGCAGTGCTCTGCAGTGGGCGACGGGGCAGGGCGGATGTGTGGAGGCATCGGGAGCTCCTAGCACAAGGGAATGCTCACGGGGTCGGCTGAGTCCAGCGGGCCACCGGCACCAGGTTGCCGCAGAACTGATGATCCAAGATCTGGCCGCCGACGCATGGAGCCCAACGAGATGTTTGCGGGCTCGGCGGAGTGTGGCAGGCAGCCGGCACCGTGGCGTCGAAGGACGGATGAAGCGTCGTCGGCGGCAGCGAGAGCAGGAGCAGGAGCAGGAGCTGGAGCTGAAGCAGGAGCAACAGCTGCAGCGCTGCCCCGAGCCCTGGGCGGCCCCCCCTCGGGTTTCTTGGGGGGCGCCCCCCTGCAGAGCGAGATCTCGCGAGAGGCCCCCTCGGAACCGCTGGCCGAAGGGAGTGCTCTACAGAGGCTGCGAGGGCCGCGCCTGTCTCAGACTGCGACGCCCCGTTCCTCGTACGAGGCGCCAGCCACGAGATGGCCCAGACTCCACCGGCGCCGGCCCCATCCTGAAGGGCAACGATTGGGGGGACTGGCATTGAGGGGGACACATCGACCTGGAATCGACGATACACCGCCGATACATCGGCGATGGGCCTCTGGCAATGACTCCGCACGCTCCCGAGCAGGCTGGGGCCATCGGGCCCCTAACGGCGATCAACGGGCGATCGGGAATTGACGCACCCCCCCTATCGCTGACCCTGACAGCCGCACCCGGCCTTCCGCTCCTGGCCCCCATTGCCAGTTCCCCCCGCCGGCAGGCCCACGCACTCAGAGAGCGCGGGCCCGCCCGGATAAGGCTGCAACCCCTCCTTCACGCGCCCGCCCGCCCGAGGGAGGCGCATAGGCCGCCCTCCGCGCCCCGGAGCACCCAATGAAGGGGGAGTAGGGGCAACAGGGAATTGCAGGAGGGATGAGCGCGCCTGAAAGCCTAGACGCACGCGCCTTGAGGGCAGCGCACAGCGAAGTTAGAGGTAAAGAGATGTCGGCGTCGCCATCGACATGGCCTGCAGCATCTTCACACACACACACACACACACACACCGCCTGCGACACAAGGCGACGGAACACACACGGAAGACGACAGGCCCTGGCAGGGGCGAAATGAGGAAGCAACATCCTAGCGAGAGCGTTCAAAGAGAGGCGGCCGCAGGGAAACGTCAAGATGCACACCTGGGGGCAGAATCAATCAATTGTACGCGCACACAAAGCTTTTTGGAATTGGGGCGGGGCGTCGCCGGCCAGCTCATGCCAGAGAAGAACAGGACGCGAACCTGACGACGACGACCGAGAAAGAAAGCAGGACTGCGAGAGCGCACGAGAGACGGAGCACGTCGACGCGCACCCGCGGGGAGGCGAAACTCTCCCCACTCGACCCGAGGGGCGCAAACACGGGCCGATTTAGCGGGAACAACGTAGACGATGCGAGCTCGTCGACTGGGGCCGTCGGGGCTCAGCTGCCCTGAGCGGGGGCTGGAGCACCGAAAGCGCCGCCCACCGCCCCACCCCCGACACGAAGCGACATAGGGAATGAATACCACCCCGCCCACATGGGCTGCTTGCACTTCGCGATGAGGGAGGCATGGCCCCCGCCCAGAACTGGCTGCTCTTCACGATGAGGGGCGCGCCGACCCCGCCCAAAATGGGCTGCTCTTAGCGAAGAGGGCCTGGCTCTGTGGCCACCTCGAGCACGTCTTTATATGCTGCGCGGTGTGAGGTGCCAGTTTGCGCGGCTGCGAGCCCCGCGCAGAGGCCCCCCACCTGTCTCGGGAAGAAAAAGAGGGCGGGGGGAAGACGGGGGGAGGGGCCCCCCCCGATCACAGACACCCGCGCCCATTCACCTGCAGTGAGAAGAGGAACAAGAAGAGCAACCTGCCTTCAGGACACTGCACAGACTCCGACTGCACAGCGGCGCCGTTCAAGTAGCACTAGTCTAGGATGTGACTCACAGACAAGGACAACCATCATTCACAAAACATATCATGAAGCATGCGCATGGTCCTCGCCTAGGATGGGCTGCTCTTCGCGATCAGGGACACCCACAGTTGCGCGCACAAAAAAATACAAGCGGAGACGATGGCAGCGGCCCAGATCTGCCTGGACCTCGGAATCGCGCGCAGGGGCCGCGGCCCCACCTGCTCGCCTTAACGGGCCGCTTGCAAGCCAGGGCAATGCCCGACGATGCCGCTCCAAAATGAGCCGGGGAGAGGCGAAGACACGCACGCAAAGAGCCGCGGCGGAGAAGGGGGCCGAGCGCAGGCAGCATCTCCACTCGGATGGACACATGGAGCGATAGAAGAGAAGGAACGGATGCAAATAGAAAGCGAAAGCACAATGGATGAATAAAGAACAGGCGATAGAAACTCGACAATTGGGCAAGATCGACATATTTCCTCCGCGCTGGAAACATTGTAAAATCGGCGCGTTGGCAACCGCGGGCGCTGCCACCGACTCAGGACGGGACCCTGCCCGCGCATGCACAGTCGCTAACATGACCCAGAAGGCACAGCGAGAACGGCCGATGACCTGCGAGGGGAAAAGCGCGCCTGAGAGCCCATCTGAATGCACCCACCCACTGGGCGACCGAGCCCGCACCACGAGTCGGGGTGCCACCCGGGAACGCGCGCGCCGCGAGGGCAGCGCACAGTGAGGTTAGAGGTGGAGAGATGTAGGTGTCGCCACCGACATGGCCTGCAACATCTTCACAGACATGGGCCCCTCGTCCTGCTACCCCTTCGCCGTCGCGGTCGCCCTCCCCCTCCCCCATCATGATCGTCATATCAGCATCGCCAACATCATCCTCATCATCATCACCCTCATCGTCCTCATCCCCACCACTCCCATTCACCACCATCACCACCACCATCAGCAGCAGCAAAACACCATCATCATCACCATCACCACTAACATCACCATCCTCCCCGTCATCATCAGAATCAGCATCACCATCATCATCACCAGCATCATCATCATCTCCGGCGCTCGTCTTCCCGAGCAGCCCATGTGCGAAATTGTCGAAGAAAGGTGGGCCACAGGGAGGCCAGGGACGCCGGGGCGCAGCGGCGTCGTTTCTGCCGCGCGGCCTCACAGAGCCCCAAAGACAGAGAGCGATCGACCCGTTCAAAAGCTGCTCGCAAGGCAAGGGGGGGGGGGGGGGGGAAAGGGCGAGAAAGCTGCCGATCACTTGCATCTACTATCAGAACCGCCGCGCACACATGAAATCCGAAGGTCGTTTTCCAACGCACCCCCTGCGTGAAGTTGGCGAAGACAGGCTGGCCCAAGGGCGACCAGGGGCGCCCAGGAGCAGCGGCGCTGGTTCTGCCGCGCGGCCCCACAGAGCCCCAAAGACAGAGAGCTCTCGACCTGGTCCAACCTTGCCGTTACTGCCGCGTGTCTGAAAAGCGCCTTGCCCTTCGGGTGCTTTGATAGCACGGTCAACCAACGCCCTATACAACGGGAGCGAGTTGAACAAGTTGTTGGACGGGTTGCCGGCTGTCAGACGACATGTGGACGAAGGGCAGGGCGGCCGCGCCCATCTGGAGATGGCGACGCATGGACTTAGCACCAACCCTGCGCCCACCCCCAGGTTCTGAAACGAACGGACACGATGGGTGGCCCCGCCTCCTCGCAGCGACCCACGAGCGCCAGGCGAGTCGCCGATGCCGATGAGGCCCCTGAGCATCTGAACCTCTGGGGCAGCCAGCGCAGCTGTCCTGGCCACAACGCTGCCGCCGGCGAGAGGAGGCCAAAGACGCGCCCAATCAATCGCAGCAGCGCAGTATCGTCGATCAGGACGCACTGGAATTTTGGCCCCCGGTTCGATCGATGTCTTGGCAGAGAGCAGCACAAGCGCGCCCGCGTAGATGGCGACCGCGGCAACGAGTGGATGGTGAGGAGCAGACGCGCTGGAGCCCCGCCCCATCCTTGCGCCTGGGCAGCGACGGCCAGGGCCAGGAACACCTCATCTCCACTAGCTCTGCACTTGCGCCAACGAGCCACCGCGGCCCAGGCTGAGCGCAGTTGACCGCGGGTCTGGGGCCAGCGAAACTGCGCGCTAACAAGGATCTCGGACCCCCACGAGCACGGCGCCTTCGCGTCGCAAAGTTACTGCGCGCAGGCAATGGAGGTGGCGCCGAGCAGCTCGACGTCACGCACGACATCGGCGGGTCGGGGCAGCCCTCGACTCTCGAGCCACAAGCTCCACATGTCGAGCATGGTGATACGCCGACGGGCAGTGACCGGCCTGACTGCCGCTCGAAGGCCCCGCCATGCCCACGAAGCCGCGCGCAACCAGACTGCGCCAAGGCGCGCGGGTGGGCCTTCTCCTAAAATCCAAGCCAGCTGCAGAAGATCCCCAAGACCATCAGCAGCGCGGCGCGCGGCTGCACGCGTCGAATTGCTCGGACACCGCACGGCACCACTCGCTGGGGAACCCGGCCGCCACCCCCACCAGACGCCGCCGGACGCCGCCTTCGCACTCGACGCCGCCCTCCAGGACGAGGCGCTGGCAGCTGCAGTCGCACCGGCTTGCCAGCAGGGGCGGGAACGCGGGAACGCCTGCCGTCCCATCCAGGTGGCGGTCTCGCGCCACCGCCTGGCCCGCGCACTCCAGCCCATGACGCATTCGTAGGGCGGCCCCGCGCCGAGGCCTCCGGGAGCTCCGGAAGTGCCCATTGAGGAG